GAAGGAGAGAGACATACAGAGAGATTTTCTACCTGTTGGTTCATTCCCCAAATGACTGCAGGGTCTGGAGCTAGGCCAGGCCAAAGCCAGGAGCTTCCTCTGGACCCTCCCTGTGGGTGCAGGGGCCCAAGTACTTGGGCCATGTTCTGCTGTTGTCCCAGGCACATTAGCAGGGAGCTGGATCAGAAGTGGAGCAACCAGGACTCGAACCTGGGATGCTGGCACTACAGCCCCTACTTTGTTTCTCTTAATCTATTGAGACTTGTCTCATGGCCTAGCATATGGTCTATCATAGAGAACATTCCATGCACTGATGAAAATAACGTGTATTCAGCAGCTGCAGGATTAAATGTTATTTTTAAATATTTATTTATTTATTTATTTTTATTTATTTATATTTTTTTTGACAGGCAGAGTGGACAGTGAGAGAGAGAGAGAAAGGTCTTCCTTTGCTGTTGGTTCACCCTCCAATGGCCGCCATGGCTGGCGCACTGTGGCCAGCGCACTGCACTGATCCGAAGGCAGGAGCCAGGTGCTTCTCCTGGTCTCCCATGGGGTGCAGGGCCCAAGCACTTGGACCATCCTCCACTGCACTCCTGGGCCACAGCAGAGAGCTGGCCTGGAAGAGGGGCAACCGGGACAGAATCTGGTGCCCCAACCGGGACTAGAACCTGGTGTGCTGGTGCCACAAGGCAGAGGATTAGCCTATTGAGCCGCGGTGCCAGCCTTATTTTATTTATTTGAAAGACAAAGTTGCAGAGAGAGAGATAGAGGCAGACAGAAAAACAGATCTTCAAGCCTCTTACATCCACTGATTCACTCTCCAAATGGCTGCAACAGCTGGAGCTTGACTAAGCAAAAGCCAAGAGCCAAGAAATTCATCCGGGTCTCCCACATGGGTGTAGGGGCCCACGCACTTGGGCCATCTTCTGATGCTTTCCAGGCATGTTAGCAGGAGGTGGATCAGAACTCCGGTATTCAAAATGGTGCCCATACAGTATGTCAACATAGCAGGCAGTGTTATAACCTGCTTTAAACAGCTTCTACTGGGGCCTACACTGTTGCATACTGGGTAAGGCTGCCACCTGCCCCAGCCCCTCTCTGCCAAGGGGAAGCAACTGCCCATCGTGAGCCCGCAGTATCTGTGTACCCTACCCACTTGGGCACATGAACCAAACAAAGGATCTGTATACTCTGTATTGTGAGAACAGAGTACTCCACAATGACCCTCCCTAGCACTCAGGTAGCTCTGAGCTTCTAGAGTTGGCCCCAGTGATTGCACAAAGACCTAGCCACCCTCAGATTTCTGAGTTTGCCTTCTCAGTTTCCTGGCCTATTGTGTAGTCACAGGAGTCCCACAGTTACAGGGTACAGGGGATTCATTCCCTGCCCTGCATGCCTCTCTACCCACAGAGGGAGCTTCCCTGTTCTGGGAGCCATCCACCTTCCAGGTAGGTTGGGTAAGGGGAAGGAAATCAGGTACCCTCCTTTCATGGAACTAAGTGGGCATCCTATCCCTCACCAACTCTCCAGGCCAGACTCAAATTCCATGGGGACTATGGATTTCTCCCCCTGACAAAGTCCACCAGTGGCACACAGGCTGAAGCAGCCTGTACTCACCTTCTTCCCTGCTGGTTGCCAGGTACCTTGGTGGAGAGAGGGGAGAAAATCCATATGCCCTCCCTTCACAGGATTAGGTGGGTCCCCTGCCCACAGCAGCGCTTCAGGCTGGACTCAAAGTCAGTGGGGACTGCAAGATGCTCTCTCAGAGAAGATCACCAGTGGTGTGATGGCCACTGTAGATTCCTCTCCCCTTGGTCTGAGAAGATAGTGTACATGCCAGCCGTGGGAGTCACCGGGGGCATCCTGCTAGCTGCTGTGTGATTGCAGTTTTCCTTGCTCCAAAGAGACTGTCCTTTTTCTGTATACTTTTCTACTGAAAACTCCTCTCCAACTGTCCTCTGGGAACACAGTTCCTCCCCTGTTCTTCTGATTTCTTCCTGTAGTCAAAACAGCTTGTCTTTGCCCTATTTGGCCTCTTGCATCGGCATCTATGTTAATAAAGGATATTTGGCCTGTGGCTTTCTTTTTGTGTTGTATCCTTGTCTGGTTTTGATGTCAAGAATGAGGTTGGAGGAATTCCCTCCTTTTTCTTTTTTGGAATTATTGGGAAAGAAATGACCTTAAGACTTCTTTAAATGTTTGGTAGAATTGAACATTGAAAGCATCTGTTCCTGCCTGGGACTTTCTTTAATGGAAGACTTTATATGAATGATTCAGCCTCACTAATTATGACTGGTCTGTGTGGGTATTCTGTTTCTTAATGATCCAGTCTTGGTGCATCTGTTCAGGAATTTGTCCATTTCTTTTAGGTTATTAAATTTGTTGCTATATAATTTTTATAATAATTACTAATAATTCTTTGTGTTTCTATGGTGTCAGCTGAAATATTTCTCTCTGATTTTATTTATTTGAATCCTCTCTTTCTCTTCAGTAGTCTAGTTAAAGATTTCCCAGGTTTGTTTACAAAGAACAAACTTTTCATTGCTTCTCAGCCTTTTGGCTAAAATTAGGTGAAAAACTTCATTTCATTGATGTTTGTATTTTTTAAAATCTCTGTTTATTTCTGCTCTGAATTTTATTATTTCTTTGCTTATCCTAAGTTTAAATTTGCTTTGCTTTTGTTTTTCTAGTTCCTTTAGGTAAAGCATTAGTTGTTACTGATATCATTCTACTTTTTGATACATTGATTAAAAATTCCCTCCTAATACAGCTTTTGCTGTATCCCATTGGCTTTGGTATTTTGTACTTTCATTTTCAAGAGATATTTGAATATTTTGCTAAACTTTGACCCACTGATTGTTCATGAGTACACTATTAATTTCTGTGTATTTTTATAGTTTCCAAATTTCTTTTATTGTAATTGATTTCTAATTACATTGACTTGAGGTCTGAAAAGACACTCAGTGTGATCTATAGTATTAAAAATTTTGTGACCTATCACATGATATGTCATGAGGGAGTTTTCCTGTGATGTTTGGAAGAACGTGCTTGGTAGCTGTTGGATGGGTATTCTCTATGTGATTTTAACTCTGCTGTTTGTTGATTTCCTCTCCAGATAATCTGTCCATTTATGAAAGTGGGGTGTAAAAATCCCCTTCTGTTGTTGAATTGTTATCTATCTTTCCTTTTAGTCTGATAATATTTGCTTTATATATTTGGGAATCTTATATTAGGTACACATATATTTACAACTCTTACTTTCTCCTGATGAATTGAAGCTTTTCTATAACCTTCCTTATCTCTTTTTATTATTTTTCTTTACTTCTATTTTCTCATATAATTATAGATCCTTCTGTTTTCTTTCTGGGTCTACTTGCATGGATTATCTTATTCTATCTTTTTTCTTTGATTCTATGCATCTGTGATTTTTTTACTTATTTGACAGAGTTATAGACAATGAGAGCGAGAGAGAGCAAGACAGAGAGAAAGATCTTCCTTCTGTTGGTTCACTCCCCAAATGGCCACTACGGCTGGCGCCAGGTGCCAGGTGCTTCCTCCTGGTCTCCCATGCGGGTGCAGGGGCCCAAGCACTTGGGCCATCCTCCACTGTCTTTCCGGGCCACAGCAGAGAGCTGGACTGGAAGAGGAATAACTGGGACTAGAACCAGCATCCGGCGCCACAGGCGGAGGATTAACCAAGTGAGCCACGGTGCCGGCCCCTACTCTGTGACTTTTAATTGAATAATTTAATCCTTTTACACTTGATAGGTAAGATTATGTTGCTTCCATTTTGATATTATTTTCTAGCTTTATTGTACTAGCTAGATAGTTTGCTTGCTTTCATTCTTTCTTCTAGTGGTGTATTTTGGTTCCCTATTATTGTGGTAAGTCTATTGCAGATATTTGCTTTAGGGTTACCAAGAGTCTAACTAAAACCATCTTTTGGTTTTAAAAAAGTTATTTTAAACACTTATAATAAGATAGGAAAAGAAACAAAAAGCGAAAGACATACAAACTATTTAACTACTAATGGGACTGCTATATGTATACCCAATCTCTTTCCAACTTTGAAATCTGTCTGTATCACTCTAGCTCTTAATGAATTAATGTAATTATTATTATAACTTTTACTTTTCTTTTTATTTATGTATCAAAAGACAAGTTATGGAGAGAGAGGCAGAGAAGGAGAATGAGAGCTCTTCAATCTGCTGGTTCACTCCCTAAACAGCTGTAACAATGGGGACTGGGCCAGGCCCAATCCAGGAGACTGGAACTCCTTCCTGGTCTTCTACATGGGTCACAGGTTCCAAGTTTATTAACTTGTGATATTTTCCTCTTATTTATTTGAATCTCTGTTTGAAGAATCCTGTCAGCATTTATTGTAAGACAAGTCTGGTGGATACAAATTATCTCAGCTTTTATTGGTCTGAGAATGTCTTTATCTTCCCTCCTATTTAAAGGATAGCTTTGTTCAGTGTATCTTTGATGGGTGGGAGTATTTTTCTTTCAGTACTGGAAAGTCTTATTGTCTCCACACTTGTATAGTTTATTCGAGAAGTATGTAGTCAAATGAATCAGGACTCCTGTAGATCTTACTTGTTTCTTTTCTATTGCAGCTTTGAGAATCTTCTTTTTACATTTAACCTTGAAGAGCTTCATTATAATCTTGTCTTTCTTTTAATATGTTTTAAAATTTGCTAATGTACTTTTACATTAAAGGATTTATGTTAATTTGTTACTTCTAGTTTTCTGTCAAGTCTGTTAGAGTATCAAATCCTTTGTATATGCTCTCTTGAATTAATTGAGTTTTCTTAATGCAGCTGTTTTGAATTCTTTATTCAATCATTTGCAAATGTCCATGCCGAGCTGTTTATTTGACACCTTATTTTGTTCATTAGGTGAGTTCATGGCTCTCTGAAAGTTCTTGTCACTTGTCAGTGTATGATGCTGTTTGCACATTGGAGGATTGGTTATTTTTTCCTGTCTTCATGATCTAGGTTCTTTTGTGGCTACTATTCCAGTTTCCAAGAAGTCTGCTTGCATGTCTGCTGTCTTAGCAATATTTGTTGCCTAATCCTGTGGCCATGGATGCCACAATGATAGATCACATCTGGAGTCCACGGATGGCCTAGACTCTCACAGCATGGAGGTAAGATCCAAGCCCATTGTGCTATGGCCTGTTGCTGAGGGGGACTCGTAGCCCATGGCTACAACAACCAGCAACAGGTGTTGCAGACTAGCATATAAGTCCAATCAAGTGGGACCATGAGGATGGTGTTTGGAATCAGTGCTGATCCAGAGATTCCATCTATAGGTGCTGGCCTGGTAGAGGGACCATTAGGATTTGCTAATGGGGTGATAAAAACATCCCTTTGACCACCCAAGCTGGCATGAAGCTGGATTACACCTAGGTTTCAGGATCACCAGGCCCCATGTAATCTCACAGGGACTTGCCAGCCACAGTGAGACAGGCAGTTATATATTTTGAAAGGATCCATGTCACCAGGGGTGCAGATCTCTGCCTGAAGCTAAGAAAATTCCAACAGCTCTCTGTGAGCACCATCCTGGGGCTGGGGACCCTAATCATGTGCTAGGTCTCATGGGGCAGGACCTGGATCTGAGCTCCAAGGCAAGAGCTTACGCTCCCTTCTCTGTTGTTGCTAGAGTCTTTTCTGTGCTGTCTGCTGGAGGTTGGGGGAAGGGTGTGTCTCTACAGGGAGATGATTACCAGGGTGTTTTAGCTGCCATCCTCCCTGTGCACTCCCTGCCCCATACACCAGAGACATTTTTTTAAGATTTTACTTATTTATTTGAGAGAAAGGTCTTCCATCCGTTGGTTTACTCCCCAAATGACCGCTATGGCTGGCGCTGTGCCAATCCAAAGCCAGGAGCCAGGTGCTTCTTCCCAGTCTCCCATGTGGGTGCAGGGGCCCAAGGACTTGGGCCATCTTTTATTGCTTTCCCAGGCCACAGCAAAGAGCTGGATCGGAAGAGGAGGAGCTGGGTCTCGAACCGGTGCCCATATGGGATGCCAGCACCGCAGGTGGAGGATTAACCTACTGTGCCACAGCACCAGCCCCACCAAAGGCATTTTTGAATAAGAAAAGTAAGGAAGTAAGGTAAAGAGAAGTGTGTATACTGTAATAACAATTTTATAATCAATTCCAATGTGTGTATGTAATTATATGAGCTTGAGTTTGCATGGAAATGCAAACAGAGGGTTGTTAATATGTGTTTTTAGCTTGATTCAGAAGAAGGGTGGTAAATCTGAATGAGTTGTAAGTCTAGATGAGTTGGAGAGAAATGTTGAGCTGAGATGAAACTGGAGGGGAGTTGGGTGAGGAATAGATTTAATTAGCCCTTACTTTATATGTTCCATTTATTGTAGCAAGCAATTATGTAATTATGTGAGCATGGTTTGAAAAAATACAAAAAAGAACCTTTAAAATGTTGGGTTAAATTCATTCAAACTCTAATGAGTTGAATAATGGCTCCCCAGAAGGTATGTCTACTTAGAATCTGTGTGTTAATGTGACCTTATTTGGAAAAACAGTGTTTGCAGATGTAATTAAATTAAGAACTCCAAAAAAGATTATTCTGATATAGTAAGGGCACTAAATCCACTGACAAATGTTATTAAAAGAGAAAGCGAGGGGCTGGTGCTGTGGCATAGTGGATAAAGCCGCCTCCTGCAGTGTCGGCATCTCAGGTGGGCGCTGGTTCTAATGCTGGCTTCTCCATTTCCGATCCCGCTCTCTGCTATGGTCTGGGAAAGCAGTAGAAGATGGCCAAGTCCTTGGGCCCCTGCACCCACGGGGGAGACCCGGAAGAAATTCCTGGCTTCAGACTGGTGCAGCTCCGGCTGTTGCAGTCATCTGGGGGAGTGAACCAGTGGATGGAAGACCTCTCTCCCTCTGCCTCTGCCTCTCTGTAACTCTGCCTTTCAAATGAATAATTAAATCTTATAAAAATGAAAGAAAGGGAGAAGATGCACAAGGAGGAAAGGGCATGTGAAAGCTGAGGCAGAGCTTGGACCTAAAGCTGGAAAAGGCAAGAAACAAAGTGTCACCAAGAAATACCAGGGCTGCATAGAGTACAGTTGGGACATCACTGATTAGTCCGCTTTTCTTAATGTATAGATAAGAAGAACAATACTTGAAACTTGTTTTCTACTTTGGATGAGCTATGCCGACTTGAGTCAGTCTTAATATCCCTTTCTGAATTTCTGCTTTGGAAGGCTTAGGGGCATTTGGCATTTTTTAAGTCAGCTGGCTGCAGTTCAGTCAGCTATTGTCATTTTTGCATTTTAGACGTATGCATTTTATTGTCACACAATCACCTTTGTAGAATTTTGTACCATTTCTTTAATTTTCTATGTTTCCTTTGGAAAGGATTTTGTATAACCCTATAGTTTCTTACTGCAGATCCCTAGCTATGTGTCTGTCACTTGAAATATGTATCCATGATACATTCCCAATTCTGTATCTCTGATCCATCACATGACTGTTCCTGTGCTGAGAATTTCTCCTCATATCACTGGATGAAACTAGTCCAGGATATAAAAAATGTTTGAGAAGCTGAAATACTTGGGATGCAAAAAGAATGAGTGTAGCCTGGGTTCAAGTAGAGAAAGGGAATAAGGTGTTATGTCTCCCAGTAGGACACAGGATTCTTGTCCAATGAGGCAGATTAACTCTCAACATGGATGTGCCTTTATTCCTACCACAGAAGAATTTATCATCTTCACTAAGGTAATGCTGCAGGGCGACTGAGGCTATAAAGGCAATGAGAGGTGAGAAGGATGATTATTGGATGCCATCACAGTCATAATTTTGCAAGGCTTATATTGACTACAGGGAGGTGGACCTAGTGGTATGTACTAACTCACTTAGGGTATGGCCTTGAAAGGTAATCCTCTGTGATTATGAAATTGTGATTGAACCAACATGACACAGATTTTCTGCACAATGAGTTAGAGCTTTTTTTTGCCAAAGAGAAGACCAGAAAAGAAGGAACATACTAAACTAATAGACATATCAGCACCAATGATCTTATATAATAATGACTTACAAGGTTATTGATTACACCTATGGCATACAGGTATACACAATGACCATTATAAAACAGGATGTTCCAACATTACAAATGGGCAAATTGCTTTGAAAAAGAAAATAAGCACAGTGATTCAATTCTTCATGGCCTAGGAGATAAAATATTTACTAACTATAAATAAATCCCTATGAATTTTAACAAAATGCTAATAAAAAGCATATTTAACAGTTATTACAGACATCAAAACAATAACACAGGTACCACCATAAGTCTTCAAAATTAATTAATTTTAAAGATAGGAATAAATGGGGCTCAGGACTTAACAGGTGAAAATTTGACCATAAAAGGCACTTGTTGAGACTGAAAATTTTACCTTGGACCATGCAACCAAGTCTCCTACTTCAAATGAGAATGAATCAGCCAGCATTGTGGATCCTGGTATTCTGAGATGGCACTATTTTTCTTTTACATCTGGAAATATTTGCAAAAATAAAACACATTCCAGAAATGTTATAAAAATGACTCTTTTTACAAAAGGCAGAATGAGATGGGGGGGAGACAGAAGGGGGAGAGAGAGAGATGGAGGGAGGACAGAGAGGGGGAGAGAGAGAGAGAGAGAGAGAGAGATTATCAACACAGATCCTCCCATTTACTGGTTTACTCTCCAAATGGCCACAGTGGCTGGACCTGGGCCAGACTGAAGTCAGGAGTCTAGAACTCCATTCAGGTCACCCACATGTATGGCAAAGACCCAGATACTTGGGCCCTCTTTGGCTGATTTCCCAGATTCATCAGCAGGGATTAGGAAATGGAGCAGCTGGGACTTGAACTGGCACTCCTACTGGATGCTGGTATTGCAGGTGGTGGCCTAACCAACTGTGTCAAAATGCTGGCCCCAAGAGTTGGAATGTGGAGCTACTGAATGTTTTGGAGGATATTTTAAAAATTAGAACCATGGGCTTATATAAAAATAAGAATTAAAGGAAAGTCTCTTTCATGGTATTAGCATATTTGGCACCAGTATTATTTTGCCACATTGATTGGTTATGGAGTCATTGAGGTTGCACATGTTTTATTTCCTACTTAGGGTGTTTAAAATATTCACACAAATTAGTCACATAAATTACTGATGGTAGTTTAAATTATTTAAAGGAATTTAATCACATGGTTAATAAATGCCCATGAAAATGACTTTCCAAGTTATTTTTTAGATATACAAATTTAATGTATTAAGTATTGAGTAAAAGGAACCTTTACATTGAACTAAATTCTTTCATGATTTCCTTAAATCTGTTGCATAGGGCTAGATTTTATGCCCCATAGAAAATGGGCTGATCCATGGCTCTTCCAATCCTGGTAACTTTAAGTTCTGACACAGCCTCTAGTAGTAACTAAAATATCTAGTCATATATACTAATCAAAACTCTAGAACTGAAACTGAGGTTTCTGCGTATTTTAACTTAAGCCTGATGCAATCAGAAATCCTAAAGTTGTGAAAAATATGTAGTTGGTTGCCTCTCTGTCACTTAATTTCTCATATGTATCCCCTTTCCTTGACCTGGTAGTTTTTTTTCTGATCACTCTGTAGTCTATGTATAGAGGAAGGGTTGGGGGAGAAGAATAAAGAAGGTGGGAGAGTTGTTCATGGATTGATGTTACACAGACTGGTACTATGCTATGTCTGTCCATTTTCTGTTGCTATAGCAAAATACCTGAGACTGAATACATTGCAAAGAAATGAAGTTTATGAATATTTAGCTCACAGTTCTAGAGATTTAAGAGAATGGTGAGAGCATCTGCTCCAGTTTGGTGAGGCATGATGGCAGATGCCACCCCAAGGCAAGAGTGTATGCGGAAGAAGGAACTATTAGTCATGTGGAGAGACAGAAAGCAAAAGAGAGTCGGGGGAAGTAACAGGCTTGCTCCCAACAATTCATTCTTGTTGGACTTCCTGCAAGAGAGAGAATATACTCCAGAGAGAAGAGCATTAATTCCTCTGAGAAACCTAATCAGCTAGGATTCACCTCATAAAGATTCCACCACTGCTCAGTATTGCCATACTGGGGAAACAGCTTCTAGCATGTAAAACTTTGGGGC